GGGCCTTGGGTGCCCGTTTCTGAAGCTTTTCGAGCGGGGCGCGGCCAACGAAAGTGGTCAAGGATGGGCCGACGAGGCAAGGATGCAAGGGCACCCTTGGGAAGGTTGCCCATTCTTACTATGCGGGTTGACTGTGCCCCCCGTGTGTGCGCCGCCAAGATGGGCCCCGAGATCCAGGCCTCTAGGCGTGGCCAGCAGGGCATCGCGACGGCGTGGCCTTCGAGCTGTGGCGGAGCGCCCTGGCTTGCCTAATTAGGCTCACCAGAGCATGTTCTAAGAACCTGTTGTGGTGTGCCCGAAATGTTCTCAGAGCTTTTCTGGTTCAGGCTGCCTCGCTTTAGCATATCAGGCTCATGTTCTAAATACATTGCTTCTGTTCTTAGAGCAATTTTGGGAGGCATATAGGAATGCCGGGACGGTCGGTCCCTGCTCACGGTGTTTTTGTTCCCAACCCTTCTGTGTGTTGGGTCCTCGTTTTGAATTCGCAGCGCCGCGCGTCTTTTCTTGCTTCCTTCCTCATTCCCCTTCTCCCTCCTCTCCTCTTCCTGTTCACTCCTCCTTCCACGTCCTCGTCATCCTCCTCTCCCCCATCACCATCACCAGCATCATCATCATCATCAGCATTAGCATTAGCATCAGCATCAGCATCATCATCCTCATCCTCATCATCATCATCATCATCATCATCTTCTTCATCATCCCCACCACCGTCATCACCACCACCATCATCACCATCACCAACGCCACCACCATCATCATTCTCGGCACCGTTTCGGCGCAGCCCTCGCACGTTTCGTGGCCCCATAGGGAGCCCCACAAAAGGCTCCAGTGGCTGCGCCCGCATGGTGACTCGGGTCCCTTCTGGCACACCTCTCACACGCTTCTTGGCCCCATAGGGAGCTCGCCAGAAGGCCCCAGTGGCTGCATCCGCATGGTGGTTTGGGTCCTTTCTGGCACAACCCTTACACGCTTCGTGGCCCCATAGTGGCTGCGTCCGCATGGTGACTCGGGTCCCTCCTGGCGCAGCCCCCACGAGCATGGCGCATGACCCGCGACGCGGTTTGGCTCAGAGGAGAGGTTGCCCATGATCCCTCCTCCTGCTCCCAGTTCCCGCCCTTGTCTTCCGCGCAGCATGCACTGCTAACCTCCACGTATGCATTGAGTCGCGAGACTGCGTGCTTCGCCGGGTCCACTTTTCTCTGGCGAAGTTTTCATGGGATTTGCGCCCCCCCCAAAGAGTTCTTGTGCAGCTAGTGGTCTTGTTGACACCTTTCACGCGCGTAGAATGGGTTGGATTCTTCGCCAGGGTAATTGTTGCCTGTGGCCTCCGGAGAGGCCGCCTCCAGGCCCCGGGGCTGCGGACGGAACAGGTTGGTCTCGAGAAGCCGGTGCTGGGAAAGAGGTCGAAGATCCCCAGGGTTAAAGTTGCACCGCCGCAGAAGAGGATCGGTCAAAGGGGGCCAAGGGCCAAGGTACCTCTATACTGCTACCCTTTCCCCCTTCTTGGGCCTCCTGGAATGTCCTTGCCGCCACCGATGGATTCGCACCCCAGGATAGGTCCGGGGAGTAGCAGTATCGGTGCGTTACGGCTTCCCCACGTTGCGAAAGAAAGTTGCCCTGTCGCAGGACAGGATCGAGGAAGCGTAAGTCTGAGGGTTGCTGGGTCTCGGGTCTGCCGGTGCTTTTGGGCGGCCCCTGCGTAAATGCTGGCGGTCCAGCTTCCGTGCGATGTTTGCAGCGGGAGCTCGCGTCAAATTTCAGACGAGGTCCAGCAGTTTTTGTTGGCGGCCCCTTCAGTCCAGCTCGGATCCCCAACGCTGGAGTCCAGGGCTTGACCTATACGGTGTTTTAACCACTCCGTGGACCGTTTTCGTTTTGGTTTTCTTTTGAGGCGCAGGCGGAACGAAGACAAAACGAGGGAAAACGCAAACAAATTGTCACCTCCTCTTGCAGCGCAGGCGGAACGAAGACAAAACGAGGGAAAACGCAGACACATTGACGTCGAACAACATGGTGTTGGCCGAGACCTGCTGGAGTCGCACGCCCCCCCGAAGGAAGGCCCATCGTCTTTCTGTCAGGCTGCCGCGGGGAGCTGCTCCGCGCTGCGCGCCACGGTCGAGGGCGCTCGGGCAGGTCGAGGGCGCTCGTTCTCGATGTAATTTACATCTGCTGAGCTCCTCGACGCTCCATCCCACGAGCGTTGGTTATCGATGAATCCCAGCTTGGCACCAGCGGCCAGGAGCCAGTCAGCATCGCACTGTGCGCTTTGATTCTGAGCCGCGATCTTCGAAACTGAAAGGCTGCACGTCATGGCAAATTGTTCAGAGTATTGCATGGCGCTGCGCAGCAAAGAACAGTGCATACCATATCATAGCAGACCATATTATAGAACTGTACCTTCGGATGCAATAGGAGTGCAGTGCACATTCAAGAAGCTTGCTGGCACACCATTCCTGCGAACCCTGGAAGAGGATATGTGCGGCCTCCGATGTCGTATGTGTGGTATTGCGTTTCCCGTCGTGTTGCTTGCTTGCGTGTAGGAGGGATCCTCGTTGAACTCTGATTTCTCAAGAGTAATTCTTGTTGATCCCCCCCGTCCGGTGCACATTGTTTTTTTCGATACCCTGTTTTTTATAAGGGGAAGTCTTGAGGGTCAAACTGTGTCGTTGGCCCCTGGTTTACAACAATAACGGCTCCCGCCTCATACGTCTCCACAATTTATTAAAGAATCGCGCTCTCGCTTGGGACTTCCTTACCACCGGATCGCG